TTAGGGTTTAGGGTTTAGGGTTTCTGAATCGGAATATCACAACGGTTAAGTCGGTGGGCGAGGATTCGTGCATATGGGGGTTTCCGAAAATAGGGGACCCTAATATAGTACCCTCAATAATAGGATCCTTATTATAAGGACCCCCAAAATAAGGTACCCTAATTTTTGGAGATTTAGGCGGCTTTTGGGAAAGGCTGATGAAACAACACCGGACCCCAAAGCGCAGAAAGTGCAAAACCTTGGGGCAGGGTTTGTGTTTGCGCCAAGATGCTCGTGGGCCCTTACCTCAGTATTCAACCTGGCAATATAAACCTGAAACCTTTAAACAGCTACTAAAAGCAACAGATTCAATAGGCTCAGGGCCGAGAAGCCCTAACAGGCTACGAAAGAAAAAGGATTCAGGAAGCTCCGAGCCAACCAGTTGAGATTTCAGGAGTCGCATTCCACCTTCGGGGTTTAGGGCTTCAGGGTTTAGGGTCTCAGGGTAGGTAGCTTTGAGGGCGCTTGAGACATAGCACAGGCGATGGACACTATACACTCAAACCCTAAACCCTAAACCCTAAACCCAACTCATCGCTACGAACTGCCGAGCGGAGCGGAGGGGCTATGCTTAAGGGTTTAGAGCATTAGGGCTTGCCATAGGGTTTAGGGCTTTAGGGTTTAAGGCTTTAGAGCTTAGGGCTTTAGGGCTGTAGAATTTAACGTGCAGCCATTAATAAAACTGTCTGAAGCCCAGAACGAGGCTCCAGATGCATACATGTCACAGCATTCGCGAACATGCTTCAGCAACAACGCACATGCGCCATCCCTGAACCCTAAACTACTAAACCCCTACACCCCTAAACCCAAAGCCTCTAAACCTTTCAGCTTAAACCCTAGAGCCTAAACCCCGAAACCCTAAAGCCTCAGGCCTAAACCCAAAGCCCAAAAAACAAAACCCGCCTTTGCTTGAAGAGAGCAGAAGCAGCTTCAAATTCTTCAGGAGCTCTTTCAAGTCCTGCATGGCTTAGTTTAGGTTAAGCGTTTAGGGTTGAGGGCTTAGGGTTTAGGGTTTGTGCAGGCGCAACTTTACCTGTCTACTGGTTTTAAGGGTCACTAGCTACCGTTGCATTTATGGTCACTGTGGACGACATGGTAGGAGCTCGGGGATACAGCCGCACCTGGTTAAGGAGCAGTGCATCCGGCAATGTTGTGTATTGACAAGTGGGGCAGGCTTCAGCACAATCTTGTGATCCTGTAGACTGACATCAGCTATCACAGCAAATGATCTCATATGCACACAACTTCACCACCTAACGTGCAACGGCACAGCATAGTGAGTCGCGACATAGCGCACTAAAGAGCACTTGGCGCATACAGGCAGAAAATGACAACAGCGCAGCAAGCAGATCGGATTGTAGAGCAACGTCGTATGCTGCAGCGCGCAGATGCACATGATGACCCATGACATGATTGGATCGGTACAGTGACGCACTAACTACAGTAACACATTGAGAGTCCAACAACCCCCAGCCCAGAAACCTCTGCAAAATGTGAACGAGTCCCCTGCTTACAGGCATGAGTGTCGCGTATGAGCAGACACAGTGAAACTATGCACCGACATTTCCCCGGAAACTGTTAAACTAAACCCTAAAGCCCCTAAACCCTAAACCCCGAAGCCCCTAAGCCCCTAAACCCTACACCCAGACCGTGAGCCCTTTACCCGTGGACCTTCCAACTGCACCCTAAGCCTTAATCAGGAATGGAGGGAAAGGCCTCTGGGACCAGAAGGAGGCGTTAAGTTTAGGGTTTAGGGCAAGCCCGCCAACACCGCAATCTACCTGGGGATAAGATAAGACTTGCGGCGTGCACCTTGGAATACAGCCTGAACCCTGAAAGCGAAGCCCATTGAGCCCTATAAGCCCTAAGCCCTGCAAGCCCTATAAGCAATCCGTTACTGTGCCGACCCAGACCCTCCAATATCCTGTAATTCAGAAAGAGACTTTAAGCCACAGTAGGATCCCAAAATATGAAATAAGGTTTCTTTGGTGTATTCCTTAACCCTAAACCCTAAACCATGAAGGGATTCTGGAAGATCTGGGTACGTAACAACCTTGCCTCAGAGGGTACAAGGCTGAAAAGGTAGGCAAATGGAGCCTCAGGTGGTTCTTAAATGGGGTTGTGGGGGGGTTTAGGGTTTAGGGATTTCGGGTTTAGGGTTTAGGGTTCAGGGGATCGCCATACCTTGCAAGGGCTACGGGCAACAGTCAGCATGTCCTCGGAGACAGCGGCGGTGCCTTGAACATTACTCGGTGGACACCCTAAACCCTAAAACGTTGATTCGATTTGGGCTTGGCATCTGCTGGAAAGCAACTTTTAAGGTCCATGTACTCTTATAGCATCTGGGTTTAGGGTTTAGGGTTATGTAGTTTCATCTTCATGTTAGTCCCTATTTAGGTACTTAGCGCCCAAGTATGTGTTATATGGATACATGGGTCCTTAAGCGAGGATTATTCGGTCGTTCCGGGTCTTGGTTCGGGTTTAAGCCTATAGCACGGCCTGTAGGGTTTAGAGTTTAGGGTTGCGCGTTTAGGGTTTAGAGTTGTCTGTGCGCAATACCAGAACAGTACCAGTTACTCGGTACTAAAGTAATCTGGGACTGTAAGCCAGCAGCGTTACCTAACTTCAGGCTGCCAAACCCTGGAAGCTAGAATCCAAACACCATAAGTGCTGCCCCCAAACGCTGAACTTCAAAGGTCGTAAAGTCTACATAGAGTCTCCATCGCAGTTTCTCAACTAGTCTTGTCATGTAGGATCCTACAAGGTAACCCAAAAGCAAAACTACATTGGAGACTATAGGTAAGGCTCCCCAAACCCTCAACCTTAAAACCCCAAACCCTAAAAATCCCAAAACCCTAAACACTAAAATCCCCAAACCCTAAAAATCCCCAAACCCTGAACACTAAAATCCCCAAACCCTCCAATCCCCTAAACCCTAAAGACCCAGACTCGCAAGGCGAACCCGGAAACCGAACCCCCAAGCCTCACAAGCACTGCAGCCTCTTGGGATTCGGGTTTGGTTAGGGTCTAGGGTTTCGGGCTTCGGGTCTGCGGCTGGGGTTTAGGGTTTAGGGTTTAGGGTTTAGGGTTTAGGGTTTAGGGTCCAGGGTTTCGGGCTTGAGGCTTGGGGTTTGCTTGAGGCTTGGGGTTTAGGGGCAAGGGCTGAGGGTTTAAAGGGATTAGGGTCTAGGGTTACGGGTTTAGGGCTTGAGGTTTGGGGTGTAGGGTTTGTGGGGCCCAGGCAAATGTTTACATGCATATATATACACACATACATCTATGTATTTATGTTTTTTTGTTTTTTTATTTGTGGTTTCTATATATATATATATACAACCGATATGAAGAACAACAAACAGACCAATAACAATACAGTTGATAACCGTACTACACATAACAAGTTAGAAGGCATACATCATAAAAAGTGACAAGACTGGTAGTATAGCAAACCCTTAAACGCTCTGGGCAATCCCCAAACCGTAAGCCCACAACAGCTTGGTTGTTGCAAGGTGTTATGTGCTAGGCCTTCCTAAACCCTAAACGGTTTAGGGTTTAGGACCAGGGTTCGGTTTAGGGAATTTGCTGTCAAGTTGGGCTTTACGGACTTTGGTATCTTCGCGGGCGGTTTGTCTCGAGGTCGAAGTTCTGCCTCAAGCTCAGCATAGATTTACCAACAGCACCGGATGCAAGAATCTACGACGAGTGGGCTTTACATGCGCAAATATTGTAGCACTAGAACCACTCGTGTTTGTAATGTTCGCTATAGTGTCCTTATCGCCAACATCCCCAACTTACAATCATCAACAGCTCTACTACAAGAGCAGCCACATAGTCACAACAAAAATCATCGCCATACTTCCCCCAAGTCAGTATCAACAAGATCAACATCACCATAACTGGCAGCAGAATAGTCATCATCGTCAGCATCAACATCATCATCGTCATCCTCGTCGTAATGCCCACATCGTTGCTGGTCAGCGCTGTTCGGTTCAGCAACCTGCTTTCAACATGCTAACACCCTGGCCCAACATGATTTACCTCGCCGCAACAAGTATGAAGCTTGCACACCGCGATGCTGCAGTTGTGCTGGGGTTTTGGGGTATATGATACTA